CGCCCCGACGGCCACCTGGCGCCCACGTGGACGGGCCTTTAGTCGCGGTTCTTAAGCAACCGCGACTAAAGGGGCGGGGCCTTTAGTCGCGCCCGGTCGGTCGCGGTTGCGCAACCGCGACTAATGGCAGTTGCGAACCGCGACCAAAGGCCTTTTTTCCACCAGTGGCAGGAGCTCTGCCGGTTTCATTAAGATTGCGAAAAAGAAGAAAATACAAAGTGGCCATGTTTATAAAGGGAAAATATGCCAAAAACCACAAAGCCCGGTAAAAAACTGGGAGGAAACCAAAGAACAAAACGCCAAAAAAATGACACTGGGGCTTGGGGATAGAGACTAAAGAAACACATATACACAACATCAAAGAATACCATCTAAGTCGGACACAAGTGTTCCAAGGTCCAAGCAGAGGAAGATCAAGAGCAACTGACCTAACCACCACACAATCGAACCGACGCAACCAAACCGAGCCTGACTCGAAATAGTTCACTTCTGGGCTGAAATTTTATTTGGAAGGCGCAACCCACAGGCGCAATGCCATCAGTGACACCGTCCACTCCTCCATTAACCTATCCATAGTCCCACCGATGACGTTGAGTAGCATGCGCCGCTTGCCTGCCGCAGCGGGTCGCGTGCCCTGGAGGTTGCAGAGAGTTGGAGGATGCGGCGAGTTGCTCCGCCAGCTTGACGCTTCCGCCGCGTGGGACGACAACACCCTTGGTGCCCCTCCATTAGCCAACATTCACGTGCTAGGTTGCTCCGGTCAGGAGGGGAGCACACGGCGCTGGAGGACAGAGGGAAGCGCCTCTGTGCTTCTCAATGCTATATATAGTGTCTGAAGAAGAGTGATTTTGAGTGAGGGGAGAGAAGGAAAATGGGAATAACGACGTGTGGCAGAAACATATCTGCTGCAGACATGACAATCGCCTTAGCGGCAAGATTCGTGTGTCAGATCCAACGAGGGGCACCAGTTTCGCTCCAAAAACGCCTAGAACGGACGTCTGACTTCTAACATTTAGTTTTTCTTCGATGACCAGTATATTTTTCATGTATATACCAAACTGATATGAAGTACAACCAGTGTGATAGTCTGATAAAGTGTCTGATTCTATAAAGATCCAAGGTGCAAAGAAAAAGAATAGAATTAATCACGACAAATACACGGAATTAATGGTACCAATACGTCAAGAACAAACATTTTAAGTCACGTAATGGCCACAAGAAAAGTTACAGATACCAAAATAAAGACAAGAGAAGGAACAAAAATTGGATAATCTAGATTATGTAGAGTTTACGGTGCCATTAACTCATTAAGTCAAAATCACACATACATTTCAAAAAGAGTGTGAACATCCACCCGATATGAGTAAACCCTAAACCATGCTATATACCCATATTCAGGATTGTGGGGGAGGCTTGTCGAAAATCTCGAGAATAACCGATGGGCAGCTTGTTACGAGATGCTTGAATCCATCTGTTTCTTTGACACCTTGGCGGACATCTCGGGAAGACAAAAATTCAAGACATGCCCTTTTCAGGTGCACGCAGTGGTGTTGCTCCGCTAGAGCGAGGGTCGTTGCGACGGTTTGCACGCCGATGCTTCGACGCAATTTCCCTTCGCATATCGCCATTAACCTATCGACTCCGTATCGATCCGCGGCAACCAGCAGGTGCTGCATCTCTGTGTGTCTATCATCCGCATGTCGGTCATCCGGCAGAGAATCCGTGTAGATGAAGTGGAGGAGTGCCTCCAAGATGGAGGGTTCCATGCCATCGATCTTGATGCTCTGCGCCAGAGTCTCATTCATCTTACCAAAGAGCTCAGCCTTAAACACCGGGGACCTTGCGGAGAGCACACATCTATGCGCGAAGAACGACTGGCCTGCGACGGTCAAGGTCATGTCCGCGCCTTCCCCACCCTTCAACATATCTAGGAAGTGTTTGTGCAGGTTGGAATGCGGGAGCGGGGCGACGGCCGTGTGCACATCTTCTGCCTGATGCTTTTTGATGACAGTCAAGACACATCTGACTGTGAAGGAGTCCCCGGTGAGGGCAAGCTGCTGTCGCAGCTTTGATTTCTCGACAAACTTTTCAAAGCCCCAATAGCCGGTGGTACTATGGAAAGTATGTTGTATGCTACCTTGGGATCCCTGGGTAGTAAGGTTGGATACTCTACCATGTTGGTCCAGCAATGTCAAGGTGGAAGGTAAGCTTTTTTCAAAAAGGGTGACGCTATGCGTCCGCCGGCGGATGTTTAGATTTTATCCGTCGTCTTGACGGCCATTGGATGCCCGAACTGATAGCCGTCCGATCTAATGTCCACGTCCTGCATGTTCGCTCTTTATTTCCCGCAACGAACGCTCTGTTGCGGAAACAACACTTTATCCCCCGGCCTCGACAGAGTCGCGCCTTGCACGGCGCCAGCACCAACCCACCGCAAAATCAGCCCGCCGCTGGTGTGCAGGAACTAAATTGAAGTTTCTGCAACACTATGGCGCACCATGTTGGATCTGACGCAAATTGAGCTCACCGAGGGGGGCTGCTTCGAGAACAGTCGCGGCCTCTAGTCTAGCATGACGGCGACGAGCTCCCACGCTTGGCACTCCTTTGACGATTTATGCAACTGAAGCTATGTTTCTGAAACATGCGTCGTGTTGAAATGCTTGGCCTCGTACGCTCTAACATCGTGTGCTCCTCCAACGCTTTCTTCAACCGGGGCTATGTTTCTGAAGCAAGACCCATGTTGCAGGAAAAAAACTTCGCTGCCGAACCATTTTTTTTTGAAACAAGACCTGCGTTGCAGAAACTTTTTAAAACCAGATCCTATTGCTAAAATAAACTTCACAACTGAATTGTTTTTTATTTCTGAAACAAGATCATTGTTGCAGAAACCGCCGATCTCTGATTCGTACCTGCGTGAGTCGTCGCCGATCCCGAGCAAGTCGTCTTCGCCACCGCGATGGATAAGGCATGGTGGCCCAACGCTTTGCGCCGCCGCGCCCGTCCGCCGGCTCCCAAATCCATCCGCTCGACCTCTAATCCAGACGAGCCCCGAAACCCGCCTATTGTTACCCAGTTGCAGGAATGACTGTCTTGAAACAACAAGTGAGCTGCAAGAAACTGACGCGGCTTCCCGACGAGGCCCGAAACCCCTTGCTGTTACCCGGTTGCATGAATGATTATCTTGAAACAACAGGTGAGTTGCAGGAAAACAGACGCGGCTTCGGCGGACACAGGGATGCTGTTGACCGTCTGATTAACACACGATCAAACGGCCAAGGAGCCAGCAGACGGACGCACGCGATCTGCCGGTAGAAGGTAAGCTTTTTCCAAAAAACAAAAGGGAAAGTTTCTAAATCAACCGACTGATTTTTCCATCTCGTAAACCACCTCCTCTACGCGCCACGTGGCCTGTGTCAAGCGGCCCACCACTTCCCCCAACCTTATCTCTAAAGCATCTCCAGCCGATCCCCCAACACGCCCTTCCCAGGCGATTTTTTCGCGCCGGCGCACAAAAATCGGCCTAGTCACGTCCCCAGAAGCCCAATTTTCGCCGGCTCAGGCCGAATTCGGCGCCGACGGACCCAGGCCGAACCCGGCGCGCTGAGGGCGCTCGTGGGCACCGGGCGAAATGGTTTTGGCACGAAAGAGCCGCAGGCCCGCTGAGTCAGCGACATTCGCCTCGTCGTCCTGCAAACGCCTCGGTTTCCCGCGGGGAATCAATGCCAAGGCTGCCGCCGGTCAGCCTTTCATTGATTCCTCACGGGGCGGCTCTTCACGGGTGGCGCGGCGCCGCCCCCTCCCCCGCCCCGCATACGCACGCCTCCCCGAGGGCTATAAAAAGCGCCCCCCGGCCATTGGCCACAGACGTCGTGCTCTCTTTCTCTCTCCGCCGACGAACCTCTATGTCTCTGTACACCGCCGACGATCCTCTCCTCTCTCCCAGCCCCATCCACGACAATGTGCGAGCGGTTCCTCGGCGATGCGCTGCAAACGTGGGAGGAGTACATGCTTTTCGAGGCCAACATTCCGACGCCTCCAGACATGCGGGCTGGGCCGACAGGATGGAGGCTCAACGCCGGAGGCTTCCCCGTCCCCCCTGCTGGACGTCGTCGCGCGCCCCGATCTCTTCGCCGACGAGCTCGACCGCATTCGGTCGTCGCTGACCGAGGAGCAGCGCGCCTCCCCGCAGTACGCCGCCGACAACCACGAGGCATGGGCGGCGTACTTCCAGCGCCGCCAAGAGCAACACCTCGCCTCCACCAACGGGGCACCGGTAGTGGCGGGCGGCCAGTGGAACGGCGAGGGGCGACGCCTGTGGTGGTCCGTCCCCGGCCGGACACTCGGCGAGGTTCTCGCGCTCCTCGAGGGCGGCAACAACATGTCGCTCGCATACCCTCGGGGACCGGCCGTCGCTTCGGTGGCCCGCCGCGGCGCCGGGCAATGGATGCCAAGGAGGTTTGCCTCCTGTTCGTCGTCCTCGTCCCGTTCTTCCTCCCACTCCTCCGGCTCTCCGGCGGTGTTCGGCGTCAAGGCCGAGCTCGTAGCGGAGACCCCGCTCGGCCGACGCAAACGCTCGGTCGACATCGTCATCAACGAAGGCGGCGTCCATGCCTCGTCCTCGGCTCCTCCCCGACTCGTCAAGCCGAAGACGGAGCCAGGGCTCCCCGCCGTGAAGATGGAGCCCGGGCTCGCCAGCGGCATCAAGGAGGAGGTGCTCGACGAAGAAGTGGCCCTCCAATGGGCGCGCGACGACTGGGTGCAGACGGAGAGGGAGCGCCAGTGCGCCGCCCTCGTGCGGTTCGAAGCTCGTCGCCGTGGCCGGGACGAGGGAGGCATCGTCGTCCTCGACGACAGCGACGACGACGACGCGCCGCCACCGCCTGTCCGCCATGGAGACGCCGGGCAGGGGTCCAGTAGGGGCGGCCGCGCCATCAAGAAGGAGAAGGCCGCCGCCGCCGACGAGGACGGCGGCGACGTCGGCGACTTCGCCGCGCTGATCGAGTTCTTCGCCCCATAGATTAGTTTTTTTAATAATGTATGTAAAACGTTGAACATGTTTAATATGAATATCAAGTTTGCCGATTTTTAGCCGAACTTTGCCGAACTTCGTCGAATTCAGCTTTTTTAAAAATAAAAAAACGCGTCCGGGGCGACCCTGGGCGAGCGGCTGGGAACCCGCTCGCCCCCGCGCCGATTTAAGCGCCGGCTCGCCCCAGGGGGCGCTTAAAATCGCCGCCTGGAGGGGGCCAACGGCTGGAGCTGGGGCGGACCTACGTGAAGAGCCGTGGGGGCAGCTGGCCCCACTTGATTTTTTCCATCGAGGTATAGTAGTACCATGTGATTCATTAGTGCCCCCACAAAGGCTAATGACGTGCCCCCACTAAGCCTAATTCTTTAGATATTTTAGAAGCCCAATACTAAAAAAGTAAGCCCAGTAAAAAGGATTGCCAACAGCCCCGTAGCGTAACTCCCCTGCCTACACATCAACACATGTACGCAGCCTGCAACGCCTCCTGTTAAGAAAAAATACGGACTGGGATTTTCCTAAGAAAAAAACGCACGGGACTAAAGAAAGCCCTCGCCTATCGTATCGCCTCAATCTCGAACCGCCGCGAGTCACCGGCTCGCTGCGGCGCCGCCGGCAATCGTCGACTCCCCCTCGATCCTCGTCCGTCCCTTGCTGCTCGATGGCGCTCCTAGCGACCTGGCCGGCGACGTTGCAGCGGCACTGCGGCAACACGGCGACAGTCGACGGTGATCCAATCTCCTGATCTCCTGCAATTCCCTAACTTCAATTGACATCAAGGTAAATCCCTAGAATGTTTTTCTTCAAGCTTTTTGTTTGTTTGTTTCTATGTTAAAAACATCTTAGTCTTGTTAACTCCTATGTATAAATTATCAGTTTGTGTAATTAGATCAGTTCAAACCTCTTTTCATTGAGGTTTGAACTATTGGCACTTAATATTACAGGACAACTAATGGAGAGGTTTTTTAAAAAATCAACAACTTCCACGATGCCCGAACTAGTTGATTTGGAGAAGCTTCCTAGGGATCCATCTAAAAGGAGGAGGATTATATATTACAATCCCAATCAGCATGAGGACATACGAAGAAAATACTTGATGTGGGGGCCCCATCGACCTGAACCAAAAACTTTTAAGCCAAGGATGATTGGGAAGACCAATAGGTATTTCAATCCTGATTGGTATGAGGAGTATGGTGGTACTAAGCTAGAGTACAGTGAGGCAAATGACAATGCATATTGCTTGTGTTGCTATTTATTCAGGGACAACACCAAAGGTAACAAATCTGGGCATGATGCATTTGTAGTAGATGGCTTTCATAATTGGAAGAAGTCGGAAAGATTTGTGACTCATGTAGGTGATCGCAACAGTTTCCACAATAGAGCACTAAAAAACTGTGAGGATCTAGAGAACATAGATCAATCAATCCCGGTAGCCTTACACAAGCAATGTCCAATTGAGAAAACTGAGCATCTTATTCGGGTCAATGCTGCAATTGTTGTATGTCGATACTTGTTGCATCAAGGACAACCATTCCGTGGTCATGATGAATCAGAAGAGTCGGTAAATAAGGGAAACTATTTGCAGTTGATGGAATATACTATTAGTCAGAATGAAATTGTAGCCAAGGCATTCAAAAACGCCCCACAAAATAATCAAATGTTGTCTCCAAAAATTCAGAAAAGTATTACTGAATGCTTTGCAGAAGAAATCTTGTCATGTATTTTGCAAGAAATTGGCAGTGATGTGTTCAGCTTATTGGTTGATGAGTGTCGTGATAT